AGATGTAGACAACTTGTAGACAACTTGTAGACAACTTGTAGACAACTTGTAGACAACTTGTAGACAATTTGTAGACAACTTGTAGACAACTTGTAGACAACTTGTAGACAATTTGTAGACAACTTGTAGACAACTTGTAGACAACTTGTAGACAACTTGTAGACAACTTGTAGACAACTTGTAGACAATTTGTAGACAACTTGTAGACAACTTGTAGACAACTTGTAGCCAACTTGTAGACAATTTGTAGACAACTTGTAGACAACTTGTAAACAGTACCGGCACCAGGTTATTTAGCGCCCTTGGCAAAACTTATAAAAACGCCACTTCCACACAAATTAATCACTAAAACATACGTATAAGAAAACAATTAATTAAATGTGACATCAAAATCAAATTTTACTTGCCTCCTTCGTCTTAAAAGTTTGTACTAATTCCTTCAATTCCAGTTTGCAAGCGTAATCTCATTTTATTGAAATTGTTGCTAAGTCCACGAGTCTACTATGTACTTTACGAGTTAGCCACCCCCCGCCCACCTTAGAAAATTTCAAGTGCTCCCCCCCCCCCCCTCGACCTGCTGTTGTATTTGTTTTTCAACTTGATAATGCAAGAAAACCTACCTAACTATTTTGTTTAACACTTCGGCTCTATATAATTTTTACAATAACAAATAATAACTTAAAGTTGTATTTATAAGTAACCGGTCAACCTAAGGTTCAAGAATTTGAAATTAATGCAAAGTTAAGCAACGAATTATCTCCCATTTTAAAATCCAAATACTAAAATTTTATTCAAGGGAAATAACTTTAACAAGAATAGCTAAATTAACCATGTGTAACTAAGACATGCTTAAAAACACAATAAAACTCTCTAAATTTCACTACGTAATAATTATAACAAATCTGTTTTATTACCTATGTAACTGTGTCAACAGAATATATTTTACTAATTGACTACTTAACTGTAGGTTTTGTGTGAAATTCTAAACATGGTAGCTTTATTATAACATACTTCTAGTCAATTTTGATGACATAATTTTAAGTGTAATTAATTACCTGCCGTGGTGTTAAACACATTTTTGGATTTTAAAAAAATCAAATGGTCATTTTCTTCAACCTTCCCCATCTAAACTAGGCCTGACAAATATTTTTAAAATGACCTCAAATCATTTGCGCTTTATAGCAAGAACCGTACTTGTAAAAAATAATGACATAGAACCAGCATACAGACTTTTGGATAATATTCTGAGAAAGGAACATTTTTTCTCTGATGTCAAAAGAAAAGAAAGATATGAGAAACCATTTCTTAAAAGAAGTCGCCTGACCTATGAAAGATGTCGGAGAATTTATGATTCTGAAATGCGCAGAAAGATTGAATTTGTCATGAGAAAGAATCGACCAGATCCATTTTTGAGATAATATGTGAAATTTTCTATGCCATTAAATTTGTATGACTACCAAAAAAAAAAAAATAAAAAAAAATCAAATGCGTGAACTGTTTAAATAAGACATTGCCATAACTAGTGATTATATATAAAAAAATAATATTTGAAAAACAAAGTTCACGGTTAGTTATAAATTCCAGCCTATATAGTATTATATATTGATACTTTAAGAGTAGTAATATAGATTCCTAAATAACAAGATTTTTCAGTTAGAGAATGCCTCCCTTTCTTTGTAGTGTGTTCCGTCCTGAATTAAAATCATCTAACTTACGATAAACTCGACTACTCGATATACTCTACTACATTCACAACACATATCAAACATATCAAACTTCGTCAGCTAAACATAACTAGACTCGATGCTCCAGAACTACGACAACAACTCGTTTAACTTCACCAAGCTCTACAAACGATACTCTCAATCAACAAAGATTTAACTGGACCTACTACTTCCGATAACAGTTATCACACTTCGATACCTTAATACCGCAAGGCTCGATACTCCCGGACTCAAGAACATCGATACCTCATCACCTACATTCTCATTTCTCTACTTCCAATCAGATTCCACTAGACCTTCAACTACACAACAGCCAAATTAAAAAATAACGACACTTTAACACTTCGATACTTTATACCTACGAAACCATACCAACAACAGCCTTCCACCGTTCCAAATGCAAACGATTCATCAAAACTTATCAAACAAGTACACTACTTTGAACACCCCGTCATTACAAAACTCTATACACCAGAACAGATTTCTAATTCAAAGTAAGAGAAAACGAGACTTACAATCCCTATTTTTTTAAAAAAACCCATAAAAAACGTTTTAATAACAAGCTTTTATGTAATAATGCACTCAAAAGTAGAAAATAAATTATACTACTACTATTTAAATAACTATAAAGAAAAGCGTGGGTTTCTTAAGTACCTATTGGATACCTTTACTAATATTTGAGAAGAGACCCACGCTTTTCTTTATAGTAATTTAAATAGTAGTGTATAATTTATTTTCTACTTTTGAGTGCATTATTACATAAAAGCTTGTTATTAAAACGTTTTTTAATGAATTTTTTTCTCAGTACTTTACATGTTTTATTTACAATAGAGTTACATGACTAAAAACCATTGTCAAGTTTATAGCTAAAGTTTCAGTAAAGTATTATGGGATGACGTAGTCTAGTGGTAAAGAACTAGACTGCTGACCCGACTAAAAATCCATTGCGTGCCTATTGAACGTGATGACGAGTTAGGTCGCAGAGCCCCCACCCCTCGCTCCACGCCTAAGACGGCCGTGATAACGCGTGTGGATAAAACTGCCTACTAATTCGGTCCAAATTTTAATTAATTCATAAAAAATTAATTAGGCGACCAATTAAGTCAAATTGAATGTCACGATGCATTGTCTTCATGTCTTGACCCACGTACCAACTACGAACCGTATCTGTCAGTTAGAAGTGCCTGCCATTTCACACGGGCGTTTCGATCTAGATAGACAGACAGACTGGCGACTGACGAGGAAGTGAGTTAAATAAAAGTTTGTAACAAAATTGCACGTGTTTTAGAACGTCCCGTCATGCACTGGAGCGATCACTAAATCAACCTTAAAATTAGATAACCGTTTGAAATGTTCGATATTTAAATTACGGACTTATTTAATCGTTTTCTACATCAATTATGTGACACCAAAATAAAAAGGCAGAGTGACTGGTAAAAAGCGCCCCGACCTATTAAAATTAGGGAGGTGGGGTTGCATTTTCACAATCGCGAATAAATATAGGCCTAATTAGACCTAATTTTTAGGTGGGGGTTCAAAATTGATAGTTCGTCCTGGGCACCGAAATAGATCGCTAATCCTTTGTATATTACCATCCAAAGTTTATAAAAGACAATCAAAGTTTTTAACTATTAGGTACTTTTTGATAATAGCGATTAAACCTTTTTGCGTCCCATAAAGGGGGGGGGGGCGCCCTAGGCGACCGCCTAGTTCGCCTTATAGTTAGCGCCGGCCCTGCTTGTAGACAACTTGTAGACAACTTGCATACAACTGTAAGATAAATTTTAGACAACTTTCAGACAACTTGATAAACATGTCCCTTATAACCAGTGTTTCTTCCAGGCATCTGTTCGGGGGAGGTAGACCCCCCCCCCCCCCCCGAACGAAGTGGAATTTATATAGCAAAATATATAGGCTACTTTTAACAGCGTCCCCGTCCCCGTCCCCCCCCCCCCCCCCGGAGAAAAAAGTCTGGAAGAAACACTGCTTATAACTGAAACATCAAGTACCCACACCACTGCCCGTCTTTACATTTTCTGTTTAGTATGCAGCGTGAACCAGGCTAGAATAATTAGCATGTCACTAACATATCATCATTAGCATGTGTCTTTGGAAGCACCTAAAAACAACCAACAAAATATTTTTTTTAAACTCGTCCCTGTTTCTTTTGTCATTTCTTTGACCATGTGTTAATTAACTCATTTCTTGTAGACAATCTGTTAATTAACCATGTGTTAATTAACTCATTTCTTGTAGACAATATGTTAATTAACCATGTGTTAATTAACTCATTTCTTGTAGACAATCTGTTAATTAACCATGTGTTAATTAACTCATTTCTTGTAGACAATCTGTTAATTAACCATGTGTTAATTAACTCATTTCTTGTAGACAATCTGTTAATTAACTATGTGTTAATTAACTCATTTCTTGTAGACAATCAGTTAACTTTCCGCGTAGTCTAGACCAGGGGTTCCCAACCTTTTTTTTACTCTAGAGCACATTCTAAAATATCGGTAGGGTGGCGGGCACCACCTATTTTAAATCGACAAACTCCTTCCAGAGGTGTAGCGACCCTTACCGTCACCGGGGACAAAACTTTCGATTTGCACCCCCCCCCTCAAACTTTCGATTTGCACCCCCCTCCCTCAAACTTTCGATTTGCACCCCCCCCCCCCCCTCAAACTTTAGATTTGCAACCCCCCCCCCCCTCAAAATTTCGATTTCCATCCCCTTCAACCTTTCAATATTGTTTATGAACAAAATTCTTTCTCTGTCGAATAGTGAGAGGCGGGCACATACGAATCGTTCGGCGGGCGCCATGGCGCCCGCTGGCACGGGTTTGGGAACCCCTGGTCTAGACAATAAGTCTAGTTTAGAGCAACCTTTGAACTGTCTGTCACCATGGGTTAAAATCTATGAACGCGACAACAAAACAAAAAGCGCGCAGAGCTAGGAACGTTAATAAGGGAGCATGAAGGTCACATGAATAAATTATAAGGTGTGACTAACTTGGTACATGTAGGTGTAGACGTGAGAAAATGTTGGTGCAAATATGTTTGTTAATGTCCTGATATAAGGATGTTTTAGTTGATGTCTTGATACAGTTTTCTAGTTAACAAATGGGGTCGCTATTAAAATTCTGACCTGTTAGTTAACCTCTTGACCCGTTTATTAATTTGTCTGTTTGTTAACTTAGTTCAAATGTTAGTTACCTTTTCAACTTGCTTGTTAACATCTCGACCTGTTTGTTAACATCTCGACTGTTTGTTTCAGGCCTGGCTAGCTGTTGACGTCTGGCTCTGTACGGCCTCCATCTTGAACCTGTGCTGCATCAGCCTGGACCGTTACCTGGCCATCACCCGCCCCATCCGCTACCCCGGCCTCATGTCTGCCAGAAAAGCCAAGACTCTGGTAGCAGGCGTCTGGCTCTTCTCCTTCATCATCGGCTGCCCTCCCCTCATCGGCTGGACCGACGGAAGTCAAGATATCCCAGACTTCAACGGCACCACAGATTCAAGTGTCATCACCACCACAACAACCACAGCTCCACCAACCACAGCAGACGTCTTATGCGACAGCAGCTTCAACTACTCCACCAACATCTTCATGAACCTGACCTGCAGCACCGAGGCCACGCCCTACTTCATGACCACGTGTGAGTTGACCAACTCCCGAGGGTACCGGATCTACGCCGCCCTGGGGTCCTTCTTCATCCCCATGCTAGTCATGGTCTTCTTCTACCTACAGATCTACCGCGCCGCCATGAAGACTATCTCCGCGTACGCCAAGGGGGAACTTAAGACCAAGTACTCTATTCGTGAGAACGGCTCTAAGACTAACTCCGTCACTCTGCGTATCCACCGCGGTGGGCGCGGGTTCAATACCTGCGGCAGTACGTACGGAGGGTCGTTGGTCAACTCAAGTGCCAGGGAAAGCTGCGGGGACGGCGCGGGCGGGAGGAGGTTGGGGCGTCAGGAGAACGACGAGCACCAGACGGTACGGAAGTGCAGGAGTAGTGACGCCAGTCTTGTGACGCTGACTGGGCTGTCCTGTGAAGTCCTGAACAACGGAATTGGGACTCTCACTGACGCCAGCAGCGGGAGGTCATTCTGTTGGAAAAAAGAGAAGAAGCGCCTGAACTCCAACGACCGTGGGTCTTTTCAAATTGAGGGTCAAAACGGGCGAGAGATCCGGGCTAAAAGATGCGGGGCGAGGTGTATTTCTCTGGAGTTGGACGAGAGATCTTCCGGTGACAGCAAGAGCCGGGTCAGACGAACGGTCAGTCACCCCAGAGCGACGTACTCCAACTCCGCGCCCTTGACCCCGACCTTGACCTCGCATGTGGACGAGTCCGGGCACGTTCTAGTTCGAGGCTCGTCCACGTCATCATCGCGAAGATCTCGTTTATCCACGCAGAAACCCGGCAACGCCGTGAGACTTCACATGCAGAAGTTTAACCGCGAGAAGAAAGCGGCAAAGACTCTGGCCATCATTGTGGGGGCGTTCATCTTGTGCTGGATGCCTTTCTTCACCACCTACCTAGTGGGTGCCTTCTGCGACAGTTGCATCTCGCCCATCGTCTTCTCCATCGTCTTCTGGCTCGGCTACTGCAACTCGGCCATGAACCCTTGCGTGTACGCCCTCTTTTCGAGGGACTTCCGGTTTGCGTTTAGAAAAGTCTTGACCTGCGGCTGTAAATCCTGGAACAAAAGTCGCAGCTTCCGGCCGCAGAACTCGGACATTCCGGCCATCCAGCTGCACTGTCCGACACAGGAGGACTGCAAGAGTTCCTCGGACATCGGAGCAGACAGTCAGTGGAGGTAGCAGGGGCGGTGACTCTAGATAATTGTATAAAATATGATAACAGCGGCCGTAACTGTAGCTAACAAAACCAGATAACAGCAGGGGTCGCAACTCTAGCAAAAACAATCTATTTTTGATTATGCTAATCAGACAGTAGGTCGCCCCCATCTATGTGGAGTATGTGAAAACAAAACGTCAAAACACATTATAATCACATTTCTATATCACATTTTAGTGCGAGTGGAGCCAATAGTTCATCTGTTAAACTTGGGAATTTTTCTGAATTCCAAATGTCCCGCTCCCATCAAGACAGTGTGAAGGTGAAAAAGTCATGTGACTTAGGTCGCTTTAGTTCCCAGTGGAAATATTTCAAAAGTTGGATCTATTGAAGGTCACATTTCACGAAACAAACAAAACCTACGTATGTAAATATAAAGCCAACACGGATACGCCCAGGAAATTTGTCGTGTTTAAACTGAACTGCTGTCGGATGATCCGACATGTGGATGTAGCTTACATTCAATTGGTCAAACATTTGTCTCTGTCCACGCGTTGAGTTTGTTGATCCATTACATCTATACATATATTCTATACCAGCATTTTTTTTACTTATTGTAAACCTTTCTCCGGGCTAAATTTATTTGAATTGTAAATACAAAGTAAAGAAATAAATATGCAGCCAGTAGTTTGTGTCTTCAGCTAGGTATGTTTGTGCAGCATTCGGTGTGGACTAGCTGCTAGAGATGGTGTGGGTGGTGACTAGTACAATCTCAGGTAACAGCTGGTGACATAAAGAGGGTAATCGATTGTGATTGAGGTGACACGTGAGTGAGATGGTAGTGACACATGATTGTGATGGTAGTGACACATGATTGTGATGGTAGTGACACATGATTGTGATGGTAGTGATACATGATTGTGATTGTGGTGACCTACCACATGTCTGTGATGGTAGTGATCCCACACGTAATGTGTCACCACCAGCTTTACCCAACAAATGTTGAGACCAACTCACAACATCCCAGCCCACCCAGGGGGGGAGAAGTCAAATTTGCTAATGAATATTGAATGCGATGTTTAGTCCGATCAAAATGTCCCCTGCCCATTGTGCCGATCAAAATGTCCCCTGCCCATTGTCCCGGGGAAAATGGGCAGTCGACTGTACGTGTCTGATTGAGTCGCGATTGCGAGTCAGATAAAGGACGGTGGACTCGCGAGTCACTGGGCGTCACTTAGCCCTGGGGATTCTAAAAGGATTAGAAAATTCTAGATCGTCACAAACAGATAGGGCTAAATGGTTGGTCTTCGGGAATCTACATTTAGAGAAGCGGTGGGGGTGGGGGGTGTTGTGGGGTAGGGGTGGGGGGTTGTTTTGAAATTGGTTAAAATAAATCAGGTACGTGTATCAATATTTTGATGGAACTGGCTTTAGTCTTGGTAGCCTGCAGCTCTATGGGTAGACATTTTAAAGTTTGATATTGTTGATGTGACTGTTGATATTGTTGATGTGACTGTTGATATTGTTGATGTGACTGTTGATATTGTTGATGTGACTGTTGATGTTGTTGATGTGACTGTTGATATTGTTGATGTGACTGTTGATGTTGTTGATGTGACTGTTGATATTATTGATGTGACTGTTGATATTGTTGATGTGACTGTTGATATTGTTGATGTGACTGTTGATATTGTTGATGTGACTGTTGATGTTGTTGATGTGACTGTTGATATTGTTGATGTGACTGTTGATATTGTTGATGTGACTGTTGATATTATTGATGTGACTATTGATATCGCGGTATGGAACATTTAAAAATGACGTCACACTAGTAGAGAGTCGGGGGTTGGGTGGAAGTGGGGACAGAACTAAGGATGTAATTTAGCATACATAATGCCATAGATTTGAGCAAGAATTGTAGTTATTGTGATATGATCTGGGGTGAAGTGGTGGGGGTAGGGGCGACTTTAGGGAAAAATTTTAGGACTTAAATTTCGGAATATTTCTAGCTATTGTGGCGGAGGGGAGGGGATGATGGAATAAATCTAGAAACATTGCTAGAATAGTCATTTAAATAGTACGAGCCTTTTAAAAAAAAAGTAAAACATTTTTGCTCGAAAGGGCAGGTGAAGTAGAGTTCGCCTGTTTCTATGATTTCGGCATATGAAGGAGTAGAGCTGTCAAATACTCGAGTCCGGATTGGAACCCGAGACTTTCGGGTATGCAGTCGTTTGCTCTACCATGCGACCACATCTTCCCTGAAAAGCTTGATACAGAAGCTCGATGGTTCAATTGTGAAAAAAACTAAGTTGATATCAGGGAAGCGTAGCATTCAAGTGCTGAATAAAATAACAGACTAGCGTGATATGTTAACTGCTACCGTAATTTCAAAGTTCAACATAACAACTACTACTGAGTCCTTATTTATGCGTTCAACAGTTAGGTTGTTGCTACGTTCGTGATACAAGCTAAAATGAGAGTTACTATGTTGATAAGATCAGTTTTTGTCTGCTCACTCAACAGGTGATGTGTTGATACTATCACAGTTCTGTCCGCACATTTAACAGTTGGTATGTTGTGTTTGACCATCGAAGTAAAAAGCAAATCATGAAGTACGATGACCTATACAATGAAAATACGCGTTTGTTTTGATCAAACTCGACTGCCGCCATGTTATTAAAGTTCACATTCGCCTCCATGGGAGCTAAGCTATCAGAGTAGTCGAACCTACCGGTGCAGACTTCCATTTGTGTCCACTGTATTTGATCCCATGCGAGCTAAGTTAACAGAGTAGTCGAACCTACCGGTGCAGACCTCCATTTGTGTCTACTGTATTTGATCCTATGCGAGCTAAGCTAACAGAGTAGTCGAACCTACCGGTGCAGACCTCCATTTGTGTCTACTGTATTTGATCCCACACAGAGTAGTAATTATATTTGACTTGATTTAAGTTTCCACCAACAAATCACAAGTCTGGTGGAAGATCACCTCCCGCCCCACCCCTCAGCTTAGACGGAGCCACTTCCCTGGGCCGTCGCGTGTGGCCCTATGAATAAATGAATGCTCAATATATCCCAGCCCCGTTGGTCGACGCTCCCCCTGCCAGTGGGATCTCAGTACCGCTGGCAAACAGCTCCAAGTGGTTTCGCTCCAGAGATATGTCGTGTGGGGTGCAATGGGCGAAATGACGTTTGTTAGACGTTTGATGGCGATAGAGTTCTAAGAAACATGAAATTCGTTCCTTTTAGAATAGATGTAAAAGAACTAGCGAATGGGAGATTTTTCTGGATGTGAGAAATTAGAGTTAACTGGACAGAATAAATTGCTTCCAAAAAGTATTTTTAAAATAGTGAAGTCTACCATCTACACGGAGAGAGAATAATGCAGAAATAAAAAGCTACTTAACTGTAGTGTTGTGGAGATGCCAAAGATGAAATGGCAATGTTTAGATTAAAAAATCAAATACATGCGCGAGTCTAGCGTGGGTACGACGGTCGTCTGCTATCTTGTCTGTCTGACGTCTTGTCTGTCTGAAGTCTTGTCTGTCTGACGTTTTGTCCAGCAAGCCACTAGCCCAGCAGACATGTGGCGAAACATGGCATACATCAACTAAACTCAGCTTAGTATATATTTCTTTACGTGTCCAAAAGTAACCGCAATACACAGCTGTATTCATGTGAGTGGGCTGAAAGTGTGTGTGTGGGGGGGGGGGGGAGCGGTTGCATTGAGGGAATATTCCTGTCAGTGTAAGTGTGTGTATGGGGGGGGGAGCGGTTGCATTGATGGTATATTCATGTCAGTACTTCCTCAGGGCGTTGCTCAGTCACGTGGCAGGGGTGTTGTCCTGTTGTTTGTTCGGGAATGTTCCTGGTTACTATTTCATAGGGTCAGCTAAACTAATCATAGTGACACTACGGAGGTCACAGGTCAAACTTGACTACCTATTCTCCCTGGGGGAAAGTGACGTCATTTCAGTGAAGCCATTGAAAAATGACTCGCGTGATGTGTTTACAATAAATATAACCCTAACCTTAAGCCTTTAACCCCTGAACTTTGACCTAAAATACTCTCTAACCCAACCGTTCTAGCATCACCATACCTGTGACGTAATGACCCTAGAGACGTTTGTTTACTTGCAGTAACCAATCTGTTTTGTTTTACCGCGGCGCTATGACGTCATACACTTACATTGGGACCCCGCATTTATTTTATTTTCCCACCGCTTTACATTAATTTTCTAATTAATTTCACATCTGTAATTGGCGTCTCCACCCATTTTATTGTTGTAACCAACACGATTTCAAGCCACCACCCACCACTCCCTCATACTTACAATACATATATATGTAAGTAGGTAGCGATGTCTACTCAGTGTTTCAACAGTTACTGTTGTAGAGACAGGACGTCAACTTTTTTACACAAAGGTTAGTTCTTTTATTCTAGATATTTTATTTTGTGCTTCTTAAACACAAGTCAAATTTACACAAAGGTTAGTTCTTTTATTTTAGATATTTTATTTTGTGTTTCTTAAACACAAGTCAAATTTACACAAAGGTTAGTTCTTTTATTTTAGATATTTTATTTTGTGTTTCCTAAAACACAAGTCAAATTTACACAAAGGTTAGTTCTTTTATTTTAGATATTTTATTTTGTGTTTCTTAAACACAAGTCAAATTTACACAAAGGTTAGTTCTTTTATTTTAGATATGTTATTTTGTGTTCCTAAAACACAAGTCAAGCGTTTAAAGGCGGATCAAACTTGGTGTATTTGTAATATGTAATGATTTCATTCCGATGGTTGTTACTTTATTTTATTTTACAGTGTAAAGACAATCAACTTTATCAAAGTTTAGATAATAAGGTGTATAGTTTTTAAAATGTAACTAATGTCTATTAAGTTAAAGTTTAGAATTACGCGGAACAAAACAAGTTTACACCGTGTTAATAAAATTAAATGTTAAGTGCCTTTTCGAATCATACGATAAATGTGGGCAAGTGAAGTAGAGTTCACCTGTTTCAGTGACCTCGGCATATTAATGGATAGTGTGGTCAGTTCAGCCGCATTTACTTTCCCTAATGTGAGTCAGGTACCACATCAGAGCTGAGTGGACTCAGGGATGTCATCCAGACTCGAGCCTGGCATCTCAAGCAGTCGTGTACACCGTAAAAGTAGAGCACAACAAATGTTTACACCATTTTAGTAGAACACAAACAATGTTTACACAAGATTACAACAAATGTTTACACAACATTAGTGGAACACAACATTAGTAGAACACAACATTAGTAGAACACAACATTAGTAGAACACGACATTAGTAGAACACGACATTAGTAGAACACAACATTAGTAGAACACAACATTAGTAGAATACAACAAATGTTTACACAACATTAGTAGAACACAACATTAGTAGAACACAACATTAGTAGAACACAACATTAGTAGAACACAACATTAGTAGAACACAACATTAGTAGAACACAACATTAGTAGAACACAACATTAGTAGAATACAACAAATGTTTACACAACATTAGTAGAACACAACATTAGTAGAACACAACATTAGTAGAACACATCATTAGTAGAACACAACATTATTAGAACACAACATTACTAGAACACAACATTAGTAGAACACAACATTAGTAGAACACAACATTAGTAGAACACAACATTAGTAGAACACAACATTAGTAGAACACAACATTAGTAGAACACAACATTAGTAGAACACAACATTAGTAGAACACAACAAATGTTCACACAACATTAGTAGAATACAACAACTGTTCACACAACATTAGTAGAACACAACATTAGTAGAACACAACATTAGTAGAACACAACAAATGTTCACACAACATTAGTAGAATACAACAACTGTTCACACAACATTAGTAGAACACAACATTAGTAGAACACAACATTAGTATAACACAACACAATTTCATCTAGTCAATTCTCATATATTAGTGTTACGCCATTGAACCTCCCATCAAATAATTGTGGGGGTGAAAAAGCGAATCTTGTTATCTGATAGTTTTATTGACAAACATTTTCTCAACGGCCGGACAGTTTGAGTTGTGTTTATTTTTTAAATGTGCAGGAACCAGACCAAGTCAGACGGGAGAGACGATGGCTCGCTTGACCTTGACATTCCTGATGGCTGTACTGTACGTGGTGTATGTGGCTACAGCCTACGGTAGGTCGACCTGGTACATGTGAGATAAGTGGGGGGGGGGGTACATGTGAGATTAGTGGGGGGGGGGGGGGTACATGTGAGATTAGTGGGGGGGTACATGTGAGATTAGTGGGGGGGTACATGTGAGATTAGTGGGCTGTTGGACACGGAGAGACAATGCTTGATGGCTTTACGCTAGAGTGCACATACAAACATAGGACACATTTACCTCCTTTTACTCTATAAAATGTTACATAAAATCTCTATACTAAATTTTATAAACATTGCTATAGTGTGGGTTATTCTTTTACTTTTTTATTTTATTTCTGCCACTGTTCTACAATTATATACCGTGTCTACTGCTTTTTTTGTCCATGCCCTACAATTATACTGTGTCTTATTCTTATATTTCTGTCAATGTCCTACACTTACACTTTGTCTTACATGTCTGCCTCTGTCCCACAGAATACGACAGATACCGGTTTGATGGAGGCGGATACGATGGGTTTGGTGACTCCTATGGCAGGATGGGTTATGGGAGGTTCCCATATGGTGGGATGGGAGGATTCCCCGTCCCATATGGCGGCTACCATCATGAGTACATGGAGGGACATCCGTACGCATAGTGTACACGTGTACACATGTGGCATTGTATGGGGGGGGGGGTCTGGTGGAAGCTGCTTAACCCAGGGTCAACATCAGATGCCAGATGACAGATGACAGATGACAGATGACAGAAGTCCTTGTCGGTGAAGACATGCAGAAACTCAGTGCTACGGGGACTTATGGCTGTATTCTGTTTTATGATGTCTAATTAAGTATTATGTATTATGACTTATGAATGTATTATGACATCTGACTTCTGAATGTACTATGCATTATAACTTCTGAATGTTTTAACACTTCTGACTGTATTATGCAGTTTGACTTGTGAATGTGTATTGTCTGTGATGTATCCAAATATTCACATACTTTGTTTTTGTATCCTAGATTTTGTTGAAAACGAAACTTAATGTTATAAACAATTTTTTACAACAAACAATTTTTTGTTTATTTTTGTACTGGCGATGTCAGCCTGTAACATACTAAAAGGATTTTATTCTTGTGCTAATTCGTGTCACCATTTTAACCTACTCTCTGTTCGTAGTCTTAATTTGATTCTATATTTTTTTATTGGTCTATGAATATGCAGTTGATTTCTATTAGAAATAATTAAAATGTCCCCTTTTCGAAACTGACGGTCCATTGGGCAAGTGAAGTAGAGTTCACCTGCTTATGTTACCTCTGCATATGAAAGGTGGGAAATATATTAACTGCAAAACAATTTAATAATTTTAATTATGCTGAAACATATCTTAAAATAATCAGCTTTAACACTGAAAACCCAAAGAGTTTCCAGTAACGAAGAAGGCTATAGAGCACTTGAATACATCATTTATCAGTCTGTAAAGTGAGTCAGTCTACTCAGCTCTGTATAGTACCTGGCAACATTTGGTTATGGCAGATCTTCAGACTACACCGTCCTCTGATACGACGTGGGTATGTACTGCTGATATCTCACCCTCCATGAAACATCGCCATAAAATAAGTTAACTGTTGTCTAGTACAAAACAATAAGACGGGAATACAAGCAGTAACATGCACAGCAACATGCAACAACAAAAGTAGATTGAATAAAACATATTTTTTAATTAGTAACCGTATTTAACATTTTACTTAAACATGGAACACAAATAAAGATCAACACTGTTCAATAACATTGCTATCTTACAACAGTATTCTGAGTATATGTCTGATTACATTGATATATCACTGAGTATTGATGACGTCAGCTCACGGTCAGGGACGCATGACGTCATCCTACGCTGGCACGGAGTTGTCCAGATGTTTTGGTACGTGTCACACACGGTGATCACGTGACCGAGATCGTCCACCTACAAACGCCATTGGTCCGTAACGAGCCTATCAAATTTCACGAATCCATTTTTAGACCAATCCGTTTCTACATTATTCCTGATCCTTTTTTTTAAATTATATCCAATCAGAAAACTCGAAACATCTCATATTTATTTTTAAAATCGTGTTGCATATTTCCGTCAGTTCTAAAAGTCTTCTAGAGGTCAAGGCCATTACGCGTATGGAACTCCGTCCATGTATTCGTGGTGGAACCCTCCATAGGGAACTGGAACCGGAACTGGGAATCCACCGAACCCTCCGAACCCAAATCCCCCGAAAGGGAACCCTCCAAATCCAAAACCATTGCCAAAGCCAAAACCATTTCCGAACCCGTTTCCGAACCCATTTCCGAACCCGTTTCTATAATAGCCATTTCCGTAGAAGTCTCCGAAGCCGTCATAACCATTGTAGTATTTGTATTTGTATTTTTCTTTGTCTTTCTCGCCGTTCCCTGCAGAGAGAGAAAGTTATGCTAGGAAATCAAAGGCGCACATGACAACTTTTGGGAGCATATGGCTGTTGTTTTTACCAAAATATGATTCACAATTCTGAAAGTATTTAGGCTTAAGCTAACGCCCGTAAAAGTTTCAACTCATCGAGAATATAATCAACAAAATGCAAAGATGGTCCGAAATATAGTCACAACATACGGCCGAGTATTTGAAATAAAATGTAAAAATGGCAGACACAAAAATGGAAAATAAATAGATTTCTACTGTTAGCCATTTAGAGAATTGAGCAAGGTTATGTTTTTGTATAGAGGCAAGTGTTTAAAGTAACAGATCATAAAATGGCGCCATATTCGCGTCGGTAAAACTTGCATGGTAATGACAAGGTAGTAGCAGGTTAGTAACAGGGAAGTGAGTTTCGAGCTTTAGTGAAGATTGAGGCTAGCAAAACTGAGTACAGGTAAGTGGTTAGACTTAGGAATCTGAAGGTAGACACTGATCGTCTGCTTCTCTATAGTAGAGATTATCACGTGACTCACCATAGGCTGCAGCTGAGTAGACCATGTAGAGCAGGACAGCGAGCAGGGAGAGGGTCACGTGAGACATGGCGGCCGTCTGGTCACTTCCGTCTGGCTTGGACTGGAACCTGCACATGTACAACATCTGGTATACAACATGTGATATACAACATCTGATATACCACAACTGTTATACAACTTCTTATATACAACATGTGATATACAACATCTGATATACAACATGTGATATACAACATCTGATATACAACATTTGATATACAACATCTGGTATACAACATCTGATATACAACATCTGGTATACAACAGCTGATGTACAACAGCTGGTATACAACATCTGGTATACACCAACATCTGGTATACAACATCTGGTATACAACATCTGATATACAACATCTGGTATACAACATGTGATATACAACATGTGATATACAACAGCTGATATACAACAACATCTGATATACAACATCTGGTATACAACATCTGGTACACAACATCTGATATACAACATCTGGTATACAATATCTGATATACAACATCTGGTATACAACAGCTGATATATACAACATCTTGTATACAACATGTGATATACAACAGCTGATATACAACAGCTGAAATACAACAGCTGAAATATAACATCTGATATACAACATCTGAAATACAACATCTGAAATACAACATCTGATAAACTACACTTTATTCCAACACCACGCTTTCATTAAATTCTTAATCATATTAGTCCTAACCAGCCATTGTGTTGTAATTAAGACCTACCATCGTATTGTTACAAACCAGCCATTTTGTTATAAGACCTTCCATCATATTATTACAAATCAGCCATTTTCTTGTAACACCTACCATCGTATTGGTACTAACCAGCTATTTGGCTATGGCGTAAGACCTGATCTTTTTTTAGCTTCCTTAAATAATTGAAAGTTACAAGTTGGGTTCAATCAGTAGGGTTAACTGTACGTATCACGCTTGCCTCCATAATGTATGAAGCTTCGAGCTAAAGGGAAACGGGGCCTCTATGTGGTGACGTCTGAGGTGGAGGGGGGAAGGTGTGGTTTGGCATCTCACCTTTGCTGGGGGGGGGGGGGGGGGAGGGGGAGCAAGGGGACACGGTACAGGGACAATCAATGTAAAAGTTTCAAATCTAACCGTCTCTGTTGTGTACACCGTACACAGTGTATTCCTATACACTGTTGTACACATATTTACAGCACTCAGCAAAATACACAAAGTTAGACCATGTCTTGACTAACTCTTCAAATGACTTCCTCTTATTGTCACAGATCCTTACAAAAAGTAGACCTGCCACACCCCACCCCCCTCTTACATAGAAATCACAAAGTTGAACTCAACAGCACCATAAATAAAATTAAAATGTTCCGGTGATTTTAATTTTAATCAATTCCGTATGGAAGCAACGGCACAGTTTCATAGCCCTCCCCCCTCCTCTCACGTCGTCAAAAAGCCAGTACTGTCTGACGTCATCAACTCTCTCTCTCTCTCTCTCTCTCTCTCTATCAATACTAGATCTTGTAACAAAAATTTTTTTTAAATGTCACTAAAATATTTAAAATTTAGGAAATATTTAAAGTATTAAAATGTAAAATTAGATATGAAAAACTGGTTCCAAATGGTTCCAAAATTTTCTTGCCAGAAAGAATAATTTTCAACCAAAATTGAATATTTAATAATTTATAACATTTGTGTACAAAATTACTTCCGAATTACTTCCGGTTTCAGTAAGGCTAGAAATAGTCAAAGAAATAATTACTAGTAGGCCTACATAATAGTACTTTAACAAACACTTTTATTTTTAATTTGGATCAGTAGAGTCAGGGTGTTGTGGTGATAGGGGATGTTATATTATTTAATATAAATACAATACTATGCTATACACCAAAGATCACTGTTGTGTATTTTTATCATGGAGAACAATTATTCTGACTTTTAATGTTTTACTCTCCCTGGCCATTCCGGTTGACTTCAAGGAGAGGTTGAGGGAAGTTTTTGAAAATATTTGAATTGGTAAAATAATTCTAAACGGCTTTTCAGCGGTTTATATTCGATACAGAAATATAAAAATGAGTGTACTCGGTGGATCCCAAACTGCTTTAATTTTTTACAAAACTAACTATAATTTTATCGCTTGCCATATTTTTTAAAAATATTTTTGTGCCTAAATGCCAGGATTAAATTTGTTTTAGAAATTTCAAATACACAAAAAAAATATTTAGATCTAGTACTTCACAACTCTCACAATTTAGAAAAATGTATAAATAAACATCAATTATATTTCAACCCTACAAAACAAAATGATTATTTGAACACCTTAGAAGAAAATGATTATTTAAACCATATACAAGAAAATGATTATTTAAACCATATACAAGAAAATGATTATTTAAATACAAAATAAGAAAATGATAATGTTTTAACCGCCATAGAAGAAACTGATAATTTAAATACAACATAAAAAAAATTATTTCAACACAAGACAAACCTTGAACACAAAAAGTTTTAGACTGTCTCTTTACTTGTCTCAACACCACTGTGGGTATAAACGGCTACGGTGTCTATTTATATTCTCTTAGTTTTGTAGGTGGTGGGTGAGGTAGGGGTTACGGGTGAAGTGGGGGTTGATGGGGGGTGGGGTTGATGGGAGGGATTAGAAAGAGTCTGGCAATTAAAACTGGTTTTGTCAAGTTTGTTGGTTGGAAGATGGCCGTATACATCAGGCTGTGATTAACAAGGCCCGTCTTGCCGTAAGTCTAGTGTTTTCTGTTTATGGCTCTAGGCCCGGGGGGGGGGGGGGTTGTTTACACACCTCCAGGGGCTACACTTTACCTGATCCACTTCCTCCACCCTGCTCTCCCCGCCCACATCACGTGACTAGAGTTCCTACCTAATCCCCGCTAATGCTATTTTGTTGCTTATAACAGAATTCTTATTATTCATGTATCCTCTGTCCATCCATCCACCTCTTCAATCATCCTCCATCCATCCATCCATCCATCCATCCACCCGCACATACAATCCTTGTTTATAACCCTCCCAGGGGTAGGATTTTGTCATTGGGAGGGGGGGAATACAAATGTCCCCTCTCTCCCTCACACACACACACACACACACACACACATATATATATATATATATATATATATATATATATATATATATATATATATATATATATATATATATATATATATATATATATATATATATATATGTATGTAGGCTATATTTATGCTATAATCATATATGCATTCTACTATGTATATATAGGGCTTATATTATATATATATATATATATATATATATATATATGTCTACAGGATGAAATTCAAAGGATGAAAATGTCATCTTCTGTGCGCCAGCAACAAATGAAACTGCCCTCAACTACAATGCCGTAAAATAAGCTACATGTCTGGTACATGATACAGCTGCCTCTAGTATGACACTAGTGTCACCTGACTTGTCCAACATTCGAGTTGAGTTGCTGACAGATCTTACATTATTTCTCTAAACGTCGTCTTAAAACTAAGCCTCCAAGCAACAAACGAAACGAAATAATAATATAACTGCAATGTAAGCAAAGTGTTAAATTCTACTCAGTCCTTGGCGTCTGCTCTGGGCCTTGTGACGTCACATTATTTACCGATGTGTCAAGTTGAGCGGAGTGAGACAAATCGTTGCTATTTATAGAACACAACTATTTCACTTTTGGTAAAAAAATGTGTCTGTAATTCGTTGTCCTAGTCTCTTGGTGGCAGATTGCTTAAAGTTGTTGAGTAGCTTTACTAAATGAATTTGTCTATTTCAAGTTTACAAGTTTTGTAGTTGGAATAAGTACTTGGTTAAAGTTAGAGAACAAGGTTTTTGAAACTTACAAAGAGTTAGAGAACTTTGTTAGGACTATACAAGACTTGTATGTCAAAATTTAAAGAGATGGCTAAATTCTTGATGGTCTAGCAGTCGACTTAAGAGTCAGTGTTTCTTTCAGACTTTTGTTCTGAGGGGGGGGGGACTAAACTAGGACCACTAGGAATGTATTGTTTTAGATTTAAGTACTTGTTTTAATTAATGTTTAAATTAGGTTAACTAGTTTAAAATGATTATTGTTAATTTAGCGACCTAATCTCGTTCTTGACTATTCTGTGCAGTTTACTGCAAGATTTTACTGCAAGATTTTACTGCAATATTTTACTGCAAGATTTTACTGCAAGATTTTACTGCAATATTTTACTGCAAGATTTTACTGCAAGATTTTACTGCAATATTTTACTGCAAGATTTTACTGCAAGATTTTACTGCAAGATTTTACTGCAATATTTTACTGCAAGATTTTACTGCAAGATTTTACTGCAACAATTTATTGCAACAATTTATTTCAACAATTTATTGCAACAATTTATTGCAACAGTTTTATGCAACAGTTTAATGCAACAATTTACTACAAAAATTTACTGCAACATTTTACTGCAACATTTTACTGCAACATTTTAGTGCAACAATTTACTGCAACAATTTACTGCAACAATTTACTGCAACATTTTACTGCAACAATTTACTGCAACATTTTACTGCAACAATTTACTGCAACAATTTACTGCAACAATTTACTGCAACATTTTACTGCAACATTTTTCTGCAACATTTTACTGCAACATTTCTTTGCAACATTTTACTGCAAAATTTTACTTCAACAATTTACTGCAACTTATGTTCGCACTGTGTTGAAGCCTTTAGAACACCATTGTTCGATCAACGTTTAGTATGAAGATCACTTCTCCACTAGTGCTCCTATCTCTGTTGTCTTTCTCTGTTCACAATAAAATATGTGATGTACAAAGTGGTAATGATCACAACATGTGCGCCTATATGTCAAATATAACAGTTCGGAACACATTTCCAACAGAAATATGTTTTTGATAATTGAATGCACTATACAACAAGAAAATTATTTTAAATTCTAGACAACAGGTTCACAAACCTCATTAGCTTGTGACCCCTTTTTTTAAACTAACTGACCCCCAATATAAATTAAATTTTAAATATTTTAAATAAGAGAAACTTTTTTTAACTATCCGAAACAGTTTTTATAATAATTTCAATATCAATTATGTTTCTTACAAAACAATTAAACAAAGAAACGTAATGACAGCAGGAACTGTACCTCGAATATCGTCACCTTTCTGTAAAATTTTCACATACCACACAGAAATGGAAGTGGGTGTATAATTTTTAATTTAATACATTTCACATACCACACGGGAACTGGGTTTATAATTTTTCATTGAACAGACCACCAGCCCAGCAATCGTTCCACAAATCCAATATTTTTTTAATTCATCGCGAAATCTGGCTACACAAAGGGAAGCAGAGAACAGAGTTCGTTTCAGTGAAGTTTTCTTCTGTAATCTTAGTAATGTTGAAGTTTGTTTTCAATGGATCCCAGAGGCCCAGTCATTTCCTCTTTCAAATTTTTGTTTATGTCATCTTCAGATTCATCTACCTCACAGCCGAGTTTCTCGAACTCCGTTTCCAACATTTATTTTTCTGCGCTTGTTTTGCATTTAGGATTATTTTAAAAAAAAACTAAATTATCGTACAATGCAATAATATATTCGTTTCCTTTACCTTAAGTTTTAGGTCAAGTCTTTTTGCTGTTTTAACAATAGCTGTCAGATACGTTACTCTTTGTGTTGCTCAAATACATCTGCCTGATATGCTACTCTATCAACCGGGAGCCGGACGTTTCCCGAATGGACACTTGCCCGAATGGACACTTGCCCGAATGGGGCAAATCCACAGACATTTTCCCACCCAAAACTTTGTATCATCTCCACATTTGTGGTAGTTGCAAGTCCATAAAAAAACATAAACTCTACTTTATTATAAGATGAATGAACATATTTCACGAGGACAAACAACTAAAAACTCGATTCATCAACTTGAAAAGAAAACAATAGTGAAGCCTTCGTGTTTTAACGTCTACGGATGATAAACTCCATGAAATGCTTTTATCGTCACTGGAATCCCATAAAAAATTTCACCATCTTCATCCTACAGAAATTGATGAGCTTCTATTCCCTATAGTTCCAGTTTGTTTATTGCTTGGTAATTTTCAATGCGACCCCATTTTTTTAAAAAAAAAAGCATGAGACTAAAATACACAGCCCAACATAGACAAAAAATATCATAATATATCTATTTCAGTATTTGTATTTTAAGTTTGTTGATTCAAATAGAACCAAGCCAATTTGTTGTATGGAGGGGAGATGGATGGAGCGCTGACAGCATTGAGTGATTTGTGTAACTCTTCTGTCTACACTTCAACCAAGGAGAAACCAAAAGTAGAACTTGATTTATAAATAGAACAATTAAGGGAAACAACGTTCTACAAGCAAAACAAAGTTTATTATTCTTCTCTCGCTTCCTGATAACGTTACGTAATGGGCCGGCACTGCTCTTTCCGTCTCACGTTCTGACCAGCACAATAGTTTGTTTTGTTGAGAGAGATTCAAACTTTTAACAGATACCTGACACTTTAACCCGCATCGCAGACGACAAAACAGAAAATATGGCGTTCGTGAAATTTTTATGTGCACTCTAATTTTGTGGCGTCCATGCGAGCGGAGGGGTGCTGATGGTGTGGGACCTTGTGTCCTTTGATGGTGTCACCTCTTGTGATGGTGCCACTTTTTGTTCTTGCGGCGTAGGGTGTTGTCACCTTTGTCCCACTGAGGAAAATTTGAATTTAATCACAATAGAAACAGCTAAGGTACCTCAATCAGGGAAATAGACCAGCCGGTACAATGTAATCATTGTTTTAACCTATCCTAATACAGTTCTTGAGGCAAGCAAACTTATACAGAGTCATACAGTTCCAGAAAGTTCCATGTGGTAGTTGGATTGTGGTGAACTCCCTAACCATAGCAGTGGCGTCACTTCTGCTGGATGGAGTGAGGGATGGGGGGTGGGACTGAGACCATGAAACATAGCAGTGGCGTCCCTTCAGTTAGATGGAGTGGGGGGGGGGCTGAAATCCTGAATCATAGTAATGGCGCCACTTCTCAAAATGTCCTTTGTTTATTTTTGCCCCATGTGGCATGTTAAGACCAATTACACTAATTAATTTTACGTTTGCTGCTTGGAATATATTTAATTTACTGACCGTGAACCTGAAATGTGTTAACGTGTTGACGACCTGCACTTTAGCGGTTGATTGCGTAATAGTTCGTGTAACAGGCGGGAGGAATTTCCTAAGGTAAGTGGTTTTAGATGGCGGCAGGTAGGGAGGTGAGAACAGGTGAGGAGGTGGTTACAGGGAGGGAAGTGGTTACAGGTAGGGAGGTGATTACAGGTGGGGAGGTGGTTACAGGTAGGGAGGTGGTTACAGGTGGGGAGGTGGTTACAGGTAGGGAGGTGGTTACAGGTGGGGAGGTGATTACAGGTAGGGAGGTGATTACAGGTGGGGAGGTGGTTACAGGTAGGGAGGTGATTACAGGTGGGGAGGTGGTTACAGGTAGGGAGGTGGTTACAGGTGGGGAGG